CAAAAAATTACACCAAACAAGGAGGCCATTTCTTTGAAGCGATCAATAATGATATTTCTATCTACAGGATTGGATTGTCATCAACGTTTTTGAATCTCCAATCCAAATTGATACCAGAATACTTCAAGTTTCTGTCTCTCAGGATCAATAACTGGTTGATTGGTCAATTCTATAAGAATCAAGTAAAACAGAATTTGTAACATCACTTTGCTCTTGCAATATTACTTAAAATTTAGACGTCGAACATTTCTTTCCTTGAAGAAACCTTCCCAAACTCTCTCTCTCCCGCGAATTAATCAGGAAATCAATGCTCAGTATCAAAGACCCCATTTCTTCATTGTTAAATTTGACAGGCAGGCTTCGTTATCTTCCACTGGCATACCGATGAATATCTCTTCTATTTTACATGGACAAGCGTGGTAGATATATGTTTACAGGCATTTATTAGTCAACTTACTCTCAGTTTTGAGGATATCTGAGGTCAGTTCATATCCTGTTTGAGCCAGGGCAACGAGCTGCTTGATTTCAGAAACATAATTTCGAGGTCAGATTCTTATATGACGCCATACGGTACGGACAATAATCATATTTCAAACACACAACAACCTGCATTGCTGTAACAAACTCCGTGAAACCCAAAAACCCTTGTCTTTTGGTATCTGCAATTGCCCAAACCTAAGAGATACAAACAACATCAGTTATAGCTCGGCAATTACTTTCTGAAACACACTCAATTAAAAAGTAACAATTTATATGAACATTGATGAATGACTCAAAAAACAAAAACTCAACAAGAAAAATTTGGGGGGGGGATCACTGAACAAATTCCAAAATGCGCAGTAATTAGAAAATCAACGAAGCTATGCACCTGTTTAAGTTGAGAACGAGATAAATTGGACATGGCGAAGAACTTAGTGGCATCATTACCAGTGATCCGCCCATCTCCATCTAAACATCAAATGGGGAAAAAGCGGAGTCGATACAGTGCAAGAAATTTCAGCTATCGGTGCTGTATTAATGCGAAAATGAAACAGGAATGGGAGGGGAAAACCTGAATCGGCCAAGTTAAACCAATCCTGGTAGATCTTCATTTGCTCTTTCGAACACGAACTAATCAAATCACTGCCAGTCTTCATTTTCAACTTTGAATCAACTCTACTTCTTGCGAACTTCGAAAAGATCTCCTAAAGAACAACGTTTATAGATGACTTGTTCTTCAATTTTCGAAACGTTGCGCTCCGCAATAGGCGTGGAGATCGAGCTTCGCTATGGTGCGTCGCGGAGCATGATTAAACTGGTGTGCGTGATATTGACGGGAAATAAACGTGTCAAAACGGAGCTCTCGCAGGGTCCTTTTGGAGTTAAAACGATGGTCACTACACCGTTGCGGATTTGATGTTGGTGTGGCTGTTTAGCGGGTCCCACTGGATTACGTTTCGGTTTAGGCGTTTAGCTCATTTTGAATTGAAGATTTTAAACTTTTAAATTAGAGCGCCACTGCCAGGTATCAGTTACGAGGGCGGGCCCCATTTGGTCCTACCAAACTTGTTGGGCTCCACTTCGAAGATAAAAGCAAGGGACGCAATTTTATCATTGAACCATATGCTGGTGAGCATTCGAGATTTTAAATTTATTTTAATATTTAAAAATGGTATCCTCACATTAATAAATATTATATTTAATATTTAATTAATTAAAAAATTGTAGAAAATAACATCAAATTTTACATAAAAGGAAAAAAATACAAATAAGCATTTCTATAAAAAAATTAGTTGTGATTAAGTTTATAGAAGCAATTGCTTGTATAAAATTACCTAATGGTTAAAATTAATTTTATTTGATAATAGAGGCAACATTTTATCGTTTTCAAAAGTTTAAAAAAATATTACATAAAAAATAAATTTAAGGTACCAGATGTTGCTAATTATATAATTTAATGGTTAAATTGTTATTTAGCCCAAAATAAAAATTGAAATATTCAGGGAATATGTTTCGGTAAATAACCGATTATAAAATAAAATATTCAGGCAAAAAAAAAAACTACAGAACTGTTTAGTATTTACACTGTTGCGCAGCTACAGATTGATTAATGATTGATTTGCAAGACATCTTTATTCCAAACTTGTTTCATTGCGAAAGAAATTGATGGTGATGATTTCATAAAATATTTTCATTGTTTTTTATTGTTTATTAATAGATTGATAGGTGATAGAGATGCTTCCATTGAGATGTAATATATTTATATTTCGCCTAACAAATTTTTTGTCTTCTAAAATGTTTAATAACTAAAAAGAAAAGACAGAATGATGGGACTATTTGCGAATGAAATGTTGTGAGATGTCATCCATATGAAGCCTTCATGTGTTTCCCGCTTGTTAAATGCCTGAAACGGTCAAAGTCGATTCATTCACCACCACGTAATGAGGCATCTGCATCAATCATAAAATTATCATTTTGAAATAATAAATTAAGGACTTGTTTGTATTCTCATTTTTCACTTTTTAGAAGTATTATTACACTTTTAGAAAGTATAAAGTTGTTTGGGATGTGAATTACAAATTCACTTTAAATATACTTTTCTCAATGTAATAAATTGTAGTCTTTTGGATTGAAAAATGACAAATGAGGCATTCACAGAGCACTTGAAACATTTAAATTGAATTTTAAAAAAATATATTTAAATATAAATTTTGTTATAACAATTAATTTTTACTAATAAAAAACTAAACACACACTAATACTATTTAGCATGAAATGAAGCATTGCAAGTAAAGACATCAAGCCCCTATTCCGGTAATGGAAAAAACAAAGCACCAAAGGGCCTGTTTTTATTTTTTGTTTTTAAAAGCTGTTTTGTACTACACTTTTTAAAATTGTTTTTTAAAATAAAATAAAAATGAAATTTGTTTGGTTATTTTAATTTAAAATTTATTTTAAAATTAAAAAATAGTGATAATTATGGGCAGTTAACGGTGTTAATTATGATAGCTTGGTCAAAATAATTGTAATTTTAAATAATTAAATGTAAGCATTTTAAAAATAAGAAAAATAAAACAAAGCTAACTTGAAGTTGTTTTTTTTATTTTTAGAAATAAAAAATGAAAAATAGTTTTGGAAACAATTAAATCAAAAACACTTAACCAAACCAGTTTTTAATTATTTTCACAAAAAAAATTAAAAAAGAAAAAGAAAACAGACAAGTCTGAATTTTCTATTTTAAAAAACTATTTTTTATTTTTTAACATGAGAAAATTTAAAAACCCATTTAAATGAGTGTTTTGGATTTGATTATTTCTAAAATTGTTTTCATTTTTTTGACTTTAAGTTGTTTAAGTTGTTTTCATTTTATTTTTCTTGTTTTCAGAATATATTACATTAAATTATTAAAAATTATAATTAGCTTGTGCAATTTATATAATAAATTATTGCTATTAACAGCCTATGACCATCACTGTTAACCTATTTTTTAAGGAAAAATCATTCTAAGGTCCTTTAAGAATTTTGATTATCAAGAGGTTCTATGAAATATACAAAATTCTCTAAAGTCTCAAATACTGTACAATTACAACTTGATAAAGAAAAATAATAAATTGGCAAAAGAAAAATAAAAACTTGGGTATGAGTTTAATATTAAGTTGTCATTTTCTTTTTCAAATTATTATTTTTCTTTACCAAGTTATAATTTCAAAGGTTTTGAAACTTAGTAGCAATTTATACATTTCATAGAATTTTAAGGTAATTGAAATCCTTGTGTGAAACTTCTTAGTTATTTTTTTCATTTTTTATTTTAAAACTATTTTTAAATTAACATAATTAAATGCATTTTTAATTTTTTTTGTTTGGAAGATAATCCTAAAAACTATGTTATAAAACAATTTTGAGAAACAGGAAATAGGAACATGAATCAAACAGACTTTTATTTTCTTTAAGTCAATTTGGAATCCCATTAGCTTTGTGAATTGTGAGTGAATAATAATACTTTTGAAAGGCTTGAGGAAGATATAAAAAGTCAAAGGAGGAGATCTTATACATATCATAAAAAAATTAATTTGTTATTTTATCTAATCAGAAGATGGGTAAGTATCTCCTGTGGGGCATGATTTGAATTTCGTCTAATAATGTTAGACATTAAATAACTGTATCAGAAAACAATGTGTAAACTTATTTCTGTTTGAAATTGCTCAAACATGCATTGTTGGAGCAAGTGCAAACCGACGACTAAGCACATACTAAAGGGTATGTGTTCTTCCTTATAAAACTTATGTTTGAATTGCAAATGAGTTTTAATCCAAAAAGAAGAATTCGAATTGCATAATGCATACATGGCAGTTACAAAATTTAATTAAACTATTAGTTATATAAACAATAACTTTCTTATTGGACTATTATTACAACCAATTTTAATTGATTTTATATGTTAGTACGATCAATTTAACAACAAGTTTCCATCTAAGAAATGACATAAAAAATTAAATAATATATATAGACACTTATCGTGTTTTTCTTCCCACGTTATCTAGTACTCATTTGATTTTTTATTGTTCAAAATCAAACTGTAAAGAATTTATTTAACAAAAAACAGATCGGTAAAAATCAAGTATTATAACTAAACTTGTATTTTAATATATATTTTCTTTAAAAAGTTAGTTTATCAAAAAGAATATTGATTTTTATGATTTATAACTTTTATTATACAAATATGAGTGTGCAGGGTGAAGGGTGTTGGTATAATATTTAGGGTATCATGATCAAATATAAGAAAGGCATACATTTATTTTCCCATTAAATATCCAACACCATAATTTCAATTTGAAAAACTCCACCTCATAACTTTCATGGGATCCACTTACAATAGTAGCGACGTACCATAGTTTGGGTAAAATTTGATGCCCAAATAACTTTGAGCTTTTTGAAAGTGCAAAAGCACCCTCATAAAGTAAATGGCTTGTTTATTTAGGGAGGGGGATTGAAGTGGCATATATAACATAATTAACAAAAGATTCAGTGATTAAAATAATGGTAAGGAACACTATATGGCTGTGAAAATCCAAACCAGAACATCTTCGGAAAAAAAGATAAAAGAAAGTGAAGTGAAGACAATTTATAATGGTGCAAAAAGATAATTATACATGGTAGGGTTTGTGGGGGCCAAAGCAGATGATAGCAATTCCACCTTCGTTTGCTTTCACTTGAAAAAACAACAATAGTTCTGCACGTATAAACAACGTCATTTACAGTCAGCAGTTTTCGTAAAGAGATATAGTCTGATAGTCATATTCCAAACATAAACATTGTTCAAAAGCTTATAATACAACCTACGTATGCGACATCAAATTTAAAGGATTATTTTATTAAAAAATAAATTACAAATATCAAATATATTATAATCTTTAAATAACTTGAATTCCAACCAAAACCTTTGCTGGTGATGGATACTCGTATCATTATGGATATCGATTGTCTAAATCAAAGTGACGAGAGTAAGGTAACGTGGAAGGTGATGGTTAATGCATTTAAGCCCTCTTATTTTGAAAAATAAAAGCTACAAATTAACTTTTAAAATCATCTATTTTTAAGTTAAATAAATGGACTATGAAATTGTGATTTGCATGAATTGAAGTTTCAATTGAATTTTTCTCAATGTTGTGCAAAAAGTCTGGTAACCTGATCAGAAATGGAGTGCAACCACCTAAACATGAGAACAAATGGGTAAAGAGTAGCAATAAAAATTATGTTTTAACTAAAAAAATTTCAAACTTAAATTTATAGATTCATTCTTTTATTATATATTCCTTGTTACTTTTAATTATTTTACACGTCTTAACAAAGTTAATTTTTTTAATATCATAAAAAAATAATATACATTTTTATTTTTACTGTTAGCTTTAAATATTAAATGCTTTTACATTAATAGGAGTAAAATTAAAAAAATAATTTAATTATTACAAAATATGTTATTTTTTAAATTAAAAATTACTTTTATAATATGTCTTATAAATAGCTGGGAAAGAAGTATTAATCATCCAATGCAGGATTTTCCCAGCTCGGTTCAAATCCAACAACACTTGCAGAACCTAACCAGAAAAAATTTGCAAGAAATTACACGGAGGTTACCTTGGACCGAGTGGTTTTATGGGAAGGCCTGTGACGCTGATGATGCACATCCGAGAAATGAACAAGTTGTGGAGGCGCATCAGGGAGATGACCAGGCTCAGCATGCTTCTCTTGTTTAAGTTTGCTGAAGATCACAGTGAAACTTTCTCCTGATTTTGGATCCTCTTCGTCCCACTCCCCAAATTTTGGTATTGCCGTTCCCTTTTGATTCTGCAGTTCAAGTCATCCATCACTTCAATTCACAATCCGCCATTTACATTTACGTTTCAACCAGAAATTTCTATGGGAGAATCATTCTTATCAGTCAATTCTATCCATAAAAATGCATATAAGTGTTGGTGTCTTTTAGATTTCAAAGTGACCTGAGATTTGAGTATTACTTCGTAGTCACGAGAAGAATGGCTTCCGCTTCCCCGTCGATGATTGCTTGAGGAAGAGAAGCTGCCGGTATGACCAACACTGCCTCCTTTAGATATGATCCTTTTGTTCTCGCATCTCTGCAGCACAGAATGATCGGAATAGTTACTTCTCGAGCTCACAGACTCTGCTGGTGTTAAGCTCCCATAGCTTTCCCTGCTCCTCTGATGCGAAAGGTTCCTTCTACGGCCGCTTCTTGCCGACGAGCTGTTTGAGTTGCGGGAGACCGAGCCATCGCCGGCTGCGGCGGCGGCGGCTCCTGTCAAGAAATTGAAAGCCTCTGGGTTTTGCTCTGGATCGTTTGGGTTCACCATCGTCATCGTCGTCAAGTCCTTCTCTCTGCGCGCGGTCTCGAAGCATGCTGTGTACTGCTCGTCATCGCCGTCCCAATTCCCGAACTTCGGCACGTGGGAACGATGCTGCATATTACAAGTTTGATTGTAAGAGAATGAAACAGAACTTATCAAATAAGGGTATGCATCTCACGCACTCTCGTGAATGCACCCAACAAAGAATTATGGTGTTTTTACAATTCCCATAATCACATATATGATGATGCAAAGAAGAACAAAAATCAATCTAAGGGAAAGGGTTTGGTTCAATATAAATTTCAACATACGTGCAGAGCAGATTTTGAATCTGGAATTATGTAGTGTCCAAGAGCGTTTTCAAGTCCCAAAAATAATCAGGAGCACTTACCGTCATCAATTAGGATCTCGTCTGTCCTCTGGTTTTTGTTCTGAAGTCTCTGTCTCTGTAATAAAGAAACTCTAGAAGCAATATTTCATTGTTAAAGAGAAATACAAATACTGATAGCGAACAAGTGACTTAGCAAGCAACATGAAGAGAGGAGAAAGGTGGCGTAAATCTTGACCCTAGAAATGACGATATACACTGCAAGACAAATGTTTGATACTTTCAAAGCATTCTCGGGAATGCCCAAAGTTGAAGTCCCTTTCTTTTAGCACTTGAAAATTGCGTAGCAAATTAGGAGACGAATGAATATTCGGAAATTCTTGACCTGAGCTTTGTGTTTGCCTTTTTGTTGTGTTGTTTTTGTAGGTACACGTCTTAATCACACACATTCCAGCTTCTTCCAAGAGTGGCTTTTACGTCATTAATAATTATATTGCCATTGTTAGATAGCTTACTTTCCTTCCACGAGAGCCTTGTTTACAAAAATTCCGGATAAGATATTAAGGATCGTGTAATGACGCAGGACAGTAAAATTTGTTTCGATCTTCACAAGCCAGGTGAGGGTCAATTCCAGAAGATATTTGGCTGAATTAGCTTCTTTTCAAGTCTGAATCAAACTAAAAACGTTATCTCGAAAGCAAATTGAAGCAACTAAATGATTAAATAGTCCAAGGTTTCGTCACATGAAAAGTACTTTATGCTTCCATTTCCTTAGAGACAATTAGGTTTGTCATACATCTGATCTTCCAAAGAGAAAATAAAAGAAGGAAGAGCCTTTAGAATGGATCTGTCGAGGGTTGTCATTTATTTTCAAACCATGCATCGCGACCGTACTGTGTCATACATTTTATATGATTTTAACAACTTATTATGTTTCTTATTTATTCTGAATGGAAGAAACAAAATTTTGTTGTCAGTTGGTATAATTTGTTCTCAGGAGACAGTGTCATGAATTATCACATAAAAGCGTTTTTTTTTCCCCATAAAAACACTTGAATTTTTGAGGAAAAAAAATTAATTCACGAGTTCTTGTAATTTCATCAAATTTTTAATCAGATAAGTGTAGACTCATCTCAAGATCTTGTGATTTCTCACTAATCTCTCACTACGTTCACCAAAAGCACCACGGCTAGTTGTACCTGTTAGTTATTAGTGCATTCAACCACTCTAAAAATAGACTTAGTTTTTTTTACCAATTTCTCAACCATAAATACCTTGAGGTTATCATCAAATATGAAAGGGTTGAACTTCCTGAAATTTTTCCACACTTATGTGATGGATGGTGGGAATTTTTGTTGCTCGAAACTCAAACTCTTTCATTTGGACTCAATCTCTAGGGATAGTGGGGTAGAGCTACCCTCACTAGTTTGGCTTTCAGTGTGAGCCCCATTGTGATTCTTTAATTTTCATCTTTCTCCATTGTCTTTGACCTTCTAGCTCTTAAGCTTGGTCAACTCTCGCTCTTGCTTTTAAACCTTATCTGTTAAGGCCTTCACCAAGTTCTTCAATTCGGCCATATTCAAGTCATCACTCGTAGGTTGGGGTTGTTGTTGTTGTTTGGAACCCCTTAATTTCCACTTGTAATATGCATCCTCCCTTCCCTTCTAAAGATACAAGATACACACAAGAAAGTTAGCTTAAGACAAACAATAGCCATACAAGGAGAAACACCAACTAACATATATTGTCAATCATTATATGCAATGCACAACTCTAAATAGTTTACAAAATCCAAACAATAAGTTTAAGCATAACACTCTAAATTTTAATTTATACAAATTTTTCACAAAAATATCATTTCACAAACAACTTTATCTAATAAACATATACCATGATAATAAAAAAGTTTACAATGGTAATAAAGAATAAAACTTTCTTTTTAAAATACTACCATAGTAATTAAAGGTTTTTATGGTAGAAAAAAAACTTTAAATATTATTTTTTTAAAACTTATGTAGAAGAAAAACAGACTATCATGATAATTAAGAGTCAAAATCATTTTTATAAAAGCTTAACATGGTAGAAATAGCTTTATAAGATTGGATTATCATGGTAGAAAAAGATCTATTATGATAAAAAGATTAATCATAATAGAGTAAGCCTGCCATGCTAATTTAGGAAATAAATAACTTAACAAATAGTAAATAAATAGAACACTAAGTTAAATAATTTGTACATATAATGGGATCCCGATGAAAATGAGTGTTTAAAATTCAACAAATTGATCAAACAAGATAATTAAGAGCGAAATATGGTTCCCGGGGGCTAAATTGTCCAAAAATAAGTTAGAAGGGATAAAAAGGTCAAAAGAAACTATTTCAAAAATCAAAAAATGAATAGGGACATTTCTATCCAGGGCATGCCATAAGCTGTGGCATGTATATCATGCACTACAGCACATAACATGAAGAAGGAATTTCCCTTTCTATGTTGTTTGCCATGATCGATGAGGCATTTGTTGCGGTGAACAGGCCTAACAGCTCTTATAATAGTATGAACAATAATTTGTAACTTTAAATGGGCATAACTTTTCACATGCATGTCTAATTGGTGTAATTCAATTGTTCACTTGAAGCTCATTAAAAGAGATAACTAATGGCTTTAGTTTAATACAAAAATTCTTTCATATAAGAATTTTATTTACTAAAATCCATTAAGGGTCAAAGCACAATCTTTCCCAAACAATAACACTACCCAAAGCCAAAGTGCATAGGATACTTGACCACCTCACAAACATTCCAAACAAAAATTTAAATCAACATATTGACACATATTTTCAGAATTCTCATAGTTAAGCTACAATTATCTAACACAATTATATAATAGAAACTACATTAATTGTAATAAGCTAATAATAATGTACTTCAAATTTATTTTAAAGCATTCAGTCATCAAAATATAGCCATGACTCTAAAAAACTAACTCATGGCAACCAAATGTGAGTTTTATTAAAAGTATGGGGGTTACACGTTCATTTACATCAATTATACCCTATGGTTGGAAAATATACATGACCCAAACAAAAGAGGCTAATGAAAAACTATTGGTGTCCATACACATCAAATATACACCTCAAGTGTTTCTCCTACTGAACCCTTTCATGTAAAATTTGTAACCATGGGGAATGAGACACAAGATCTTAGTACTAAAATTAATATGTAATGATACATATGTTGTAATTAACCATGCGATTGTTAAGTGGGGTATACAAAACATTTATAAACACATGTTATCTAAATACCTGAATAAAGAAAATGTATGACTACACCTTATATCTCTCTATATATCATACTCGAAACTAAGTTGCCTAGTCATATGTGAGTTTGTCCAAGTTATTAACCACTTATTAGGTTAATGAGGGCTTACAACGTGATAGATAATCTCCAAACAAAATCTCCAACAGCACAATTCAAAAACTTGACAAGTCATACAAGTTACAATATATTTGAACAAGAAAAACATTCCAAACAATTTCATGCTTTTGACTATAATAATTATGCCAAACATAATTTACACATATATAGTATCTTACTTGGCAATTAATTTTCCAAATAGCAAGGCATACTTTCCAACACACAATTTAATTTGTCAAATACTGTAAAATCACACATAGTCAATCACAAACACGCACACCACCACATATTAACAATAGTTACCCTTACTCTTTGCTGATAGAGCTTTTTGAATAAGTGGACTTTCACTACCAATGGTGTCAATATTACAATCTACAAAATGATGTAACATTAATTATTATTAATACAATGAAAATTTTGACTAAAAAGTATCTACACACTAATCACACCACAATCCTAAGGTTAGATTAATTAACTTAATTGGCCTAAAGCTATCATAACCATTTAAATCCTCCAACAACCTCCAAATCATCATCATCGCACTTATTAATCACTTGTTTAACTTTTATATACACAAATCAACACTAAAATCACCTATTAATGTTTAGGATTCAGCTATAATCACCCTACCATGTTTATAATCATCAAAACAAATTAAATAATACTTATTTAATCTCAAATCACCTATATAGCTCGAATATAAGGGCTTGGCAACCTTAAAATGAAACTCTAGTAAGACCTAAGATAATATCAAGCTTAAAATGGAGAGAGATGGGTAGACAAGAGCTTAGAAAGTTACCTTAACATTTTAAGGCTCCAAATTGAAGTTCAAATGGAAGAGTCACAAAAATCTTGGTAGTGAGCAATATTTACGCACCTTAAACTTCACCAAACACCCCCTCTTCTATTCAGATCCAGTTTCGGTGCTCATCCTAAGATAAGCACCATAGTGCTCAGCACCAATTAACACTGTATTTATAGCGTTAATTTTTTTCTTTTATTTTTTAAATTACAAAATTATTATAATAATAAATAAATATTATAAAATTATTATTTCAATATTTGATAAATAAATAAATTTAACTTGTTAAAGTTTGACCTGAACAATTTAGATAAAAATTTTAGTTTGAACAGTTGAGAATTGTAGTAAAAAAATTAAAACTATAACTAAATGTATTTATATAAAATTTTTTTATTTTATTAATTTTGCACAGTTGTTCAACTATGAGAAGTAATATCACACAAGGCATGATCAGGTATTAAATATAAGTATTTCTTTTTAATAGAACTTTAAACATTATTTTGTTATATAGCAAAAAACTGGTTTATTATGCTAGACTCAACTTCTATTTTAAAATTTTTAGGTCATTTTTTGTAATTTTTTAGTACAATTCTCAACTGTTTAGATCAAAAGTTTTATCTGAACTATTGAGATCAAATTTTAACAAATTAAATTTATTTATTAAATATTAAATATAAATTTTATAATGTTTATTTATTATTATAGTAATAACTTTGTAATTTAAAAAATTAAAAGAAAAAAAATTAACATTGCCAATGCAGTGTTAATTGATGCTAAGCACCTGTAATATCCTCTTCCTTCTAATCCCATAATTAAAATCAAATCTCAAGTAATTAGGGAATGTGATTATAGTAATTATCCAAATACAAAATTTTCAATGGTTAGCAAAATAGGGATCTCAAGTTTATAAAACTAAAATTATTTTCAAAGTCTTATAATTAGACAAATCAGAGTTTACAAATATACGAAAGCATGGGACTATTACTTGGTGGAGCACATTTGTTCAATTTGACAGCATTTATGCCAACTTTTGATGTGCCCTAAATCTCCATCCGACATCTGAATGATGCAAAACTAGGTGTCTACAGAAAGCTCTTTTCGAGCTCTAACTAATGACATAGGTCTCAGACTCAAATTCTTTCCAAAAAAAATTGAACACCCTTTTCAAACTTACACTTTTACAGTAATTTTTGCAAATTCTAAACCAAAAATCATAGGCTAATAGCCACCGACACTAATTTGACCACATTCAAATCATTAAGACTAATTTGTGCAATGTACCATATCACATGAAATACTTTCAGATTAAATTTTCACTACTCAACCCCTTAAAATCAAAAAAACATAAAAAGGGAGAGTTTACCACAATTTTCATCAAGTTCTCCAAATTATCTCATAATATGCCGTACTTTTACTTACATTAGTATTTTGGCCCTATCACAAAACACATATTCATCAACTCACTCCCTAGGGCCCAAAATACATTTACAATTTACAATTCACATAATGTAAGTAATGAACAAATGAGAATTTTTAATTGGCAATTGAAATTGTCATAAACATATAATTACTTTAAATAAAGAGGCCTACTGTAAAAAGATCACGGTCCTATGCCTCTGGGTGTTTTCTCTGTCCACACCTCTTGAACTATCTCCTGTAATATTAAAGATAATGGGGTGAGTACAACTATTCAGTAATCAAGGTCCGACTAACCCATACTAATACATATCAATTAGTTTAAATGCAAGTGGCAGTTAATGTCAATAATTAAATCCATGAAAAACATTTAAAAATAGATATTCATAATTCCACTCACATAATAGCGTTCACTTGAGAAACAATGCTTTTTAGCGCTTTTTATATAAAGAGAATTGGTCACACAAATCATTGACAAATACATTAAAAGACATTAAGACTCAACTCATGATATCATCATTAAGAACACAATATGGACAATAGGTGTCTTTACTCACTATATGCATGATCACACCGCCCTTACATCATCTTTATTCCTCTGATATGAAACCATGGGCTGTAACTCAATGGGATAGTTTATATTTCATGACTTTCCTAGCCTAAATACTTGTGAAGGGATTACCCAATCAAGCGTACCCAACTCACTTATGAAACACGATTTTCCTCATTTCTCACACTATGGGTCATACACCCTAAACTAGCCTTCTCATTGAACTGGTGGATAGCTAGTTAGGTTCGAATCCCTCATTGAACTAGTGGGACAGTCCTTCATTAAACAAGTGGGACAATATAGATATAATCAATCCGGTAAATCATCTCACGGATGGGTCTTACCATGTAGATTTTATCATTTACTCCTCTTCTTAGGCGAACTCCTGCCTCTGAAGATCATGCAATGCATATTCATGCCATAATTCACACATATAAATTCATAGAACTTCACATTATTAATTTTCATTGAACTTCATCATTACACAAATCATTGAACTTCTTAAATATATTTTCATGAAACTTCAAACCAAATAAGTCATTGAACTCCAACTTCACAATTATTGTATTTCACACTTTCAAAATCATTAAACTCCACTATTTCAAACATCATTGAACTTAACAAAGATATTTGTTACTTCTCAATTCACAAAATTATTGAACTCCCCAATAAACATAATACAAAAATTCACTGATATTGTTTTCTAAGAAATTTTGCATCACAAGGCATAAAACTCAAAAATTTGATCTAGTGAATTTTCTAACAAATCAAGCCACACTTGCATTTCTTTTTAATTTACATAATTCAATGATAAATCATAAATCTATAAACTAATAGACATACCAAAAGCATAAGATAAAATTTGTTTGATTACCTCAAACCTTTGAGAAGTTAAAGGTCTTACCCCTCAATTACTCCTCCCAAAGTTGTCAAGAAGCTTGAATGGTGCCACTGATAGTTTTTATAAGCATTTACCATGCAAAACATCAATATTTATTTTTTGAGCTATTTTTCACTAACACTTTCATTTTTTTAATACTCAAGATTTGTTCTTGACTCATGTAAAAGTACCCATAAGGCTTCTTAGCTTCTTTTAACTCTTTTTAATAATATTGAGCTCTTAAATGGGTATTAATGAAATCACATTGTTCCCAACTACCAAATTTATGAGAATTTCAAAATATTTAATATCCTGCAACCACCAATTATCATGAAACTATAAATACCAAGTTTACTTAGCTTAATCTATTCTCATTAACTCTATTTAAGTCAATGGATTCAGACCCATAACTTCTATGGACCAAAAATTACTATTAATAATCAAACCCTAATTTTTACCATCAAGAAAATGGAAGAAGAGATAGAGATTTAAGTAAGGAAGTTTACCTTTGGTGTTTATGAGCTCAAAATTATAAGTCAATTTCTTCAAACCCTAGCTCAGCTCCTTTGTTCTCTTCGTTTTTCTCTTCCTCTTCTCTATTTCTCTCATGCAAATATGACACTGATATATCAAAATTTTGGCCGTGCGCCGCAACGCACGTTGCCCTTCGCCGTGGCACATGGCATAGAGGAGCCTTTTGGATTTCAAATTTGCCTCTATGTGCCGTGGCATGTGGCACAGAGAGCAAATCTTCACTTTTTTTTTTCTTTCCTTACCTAAGTGGCCTGCCATTGATCCAACCTCATTTTAAGGTTGAAATCATAACAATTACACCAAGTTAAACTTCTCTAGCCACACACCTCACTAATACATTTATTTAATTTATTTAAACTTAATTAATCTTAATTTAAAATTGAGGATGTTACAGCACCAAGATGAGCATTGAAACCAAATCCCTTTTATTCTATCATTCTATAGAACAAATGTTTTAAATTTATGGCTATACATCATGGAAGGAAATATCATGTGCTGCGATGCATGGCACAAATACAACTATCACACACTTAAGCCCACAATTGTTAAGTCAAATCTGACCCAATACCCATTTTTAAACCCTATCTAATCCTAATACATGATCCCATGCCCAATTCTAAGTATAATAAATGCCTAAACATTCAATTAACCTCCAATAACTTCAAACATAATTTAATTCCTCAATTAAACCTCCAATTAACATCAACCCATATTTTAAATTCTCAATAAAACCCCAACTTCTACAATAAATTTTATTAAGTTAAAAATTCATGATGTTATCTTTTGGTTTGGAGAAGAATTTCCAGAGCATGGCAATCATGATCTACACAGCAAGGCAGCTTAAAATGCAAAACGCTTTTTTGATCTGCGAGATGGTTTAGTGTCACCGCCTACAACCACCATCCAATGCTACCACAAGATGGAGAAGATTTGGAAGCGTTGTCGCAGAGATCCAACGCACCCAATGCTTGCTCTGTTCAATTACTCTCGAGTCCACTGCAAGTGGATGGATTCCTGGGAGAAAGGCACAAACTCAAGAGTGATTCCAATGATAGCCCCGAAGACTTTGATGGTGATGAGGATAATGATTTATTATTTGAAGAATTCAGAAGTGGTAGTGGGTCAATACAAGAAAGTTGAACAGGCAAGAATAAGACCGGCAACTCTTTGCTGACGAACCAATTAACATTGTTACATGACATTTTAAAAAGATTTTAGGCAAATGGATTAATATCTGTAAACATTTCTAGGACCTGATTAAAAATTAAATAAAACTACAAGGATTGGAATATTAATTTTCCTTTCAATATTTTAAATCATTTTCATACCTGCAGAAGCACCTACACACATGCTGTTTTTAAAACACTTTTAGGCAAGAACAAGGGTACTTGTAATTTTTTTTTTAAAGGAAATTAAACAAATTGTAGTTAGTCAAGATGTTTAATTGACTATTTAAAATGATATCCCAACTCACACCATAGAAGATAAAAAATACAACATCACCCATTGAAAGGCTATGTTCTTTAACATGAATAACCCTTGATATATGACTAGAGGTGTTTTTGCCAGAACCCTTTGGTTTAGTGGGGCATTAACTTCCCCGCAATACAATTCGTTTTGAGTTCAATCTCCATGTCACCAAAAAGTGGGATTTAAAAAGATATTTGGTGCGTGTGTGGAGATAGGTAGGTGTTGTGTATACTGTGTACAATGTGTGTGGGTGATGCATGTGTGTACCCCCTTTCCTATATTGGGAAGAGTTAGATTAGATAGGATAGGAAAAAGAATAACTAGAGGCTTATCCTTAAACTCTAATCCATCTTTCTCCCCTCTTGCTCTTTGCTCAAGCGGTCCAAGTTTGTTGCTTCTTCTTCCTCTCCCTCTTTCAATACTTGCATCAAGCATGAATCATATCTCACATCACTACCAAGTAAGTTTAGCTGCTGATGTGGCATTTATTTCAATAACTTCAACTATTCATAGTATACGAAGGTTTGTGACGTTCTCGACTTATAGTTTGCATTTATCCTAGCTTAGTTTCATAAGAAGCTTGCCAAATGAAATGAATTAAACAAAATATAACCCCGAACCTCCTACAATTATTTATTCTAAAATTCTTGTTGAATTAAGAGAAAGAGAGAGGCAATAAAAAAGAATAAATCCCATATATTAATAACTCTCTGTTTCACTCAATCGTGAACCTTCACACAGTAATTAATTTTTTACACGACAAAATGTAGGGACCACTAGCCAACCACAAAATTTGTACTAACCTATAACACAGCATGATGCAAAAGATCAAGAAACTTGATCCAAGTGCACGAATGGATCTGAGAATCAACAAAAGGTACTTGGCCAGATCATATGGTACTTCCTTTCTGTAATCTATATAATCCAAGTGTTCTCTAAACACCAATTGTCTTGTTGAGTAGCCAAAGGCAAAGAGCTAATTGAATGGCAAAAATAGAGTGGAGCCACATTCTGTCAAGCATGAACCCATACACTGTGATTCCTGCTCTGTTGTTCTCCATATACGTCACTGCATCAAAACCAAACAACTCATAACTTAATACCATCAACAATTTTACATCACACATATAAGCTTGATTTATGACCCAAAAAAAAGGAATTAATTATAACTAAGACCCATAAATTAATGTAATCCTCCTCCAACCCAGGTTTCACTCACTTTTGGAAAAGTGAATTAAACTACTTTTAATCAATTCAGTTTACTTATCTTTCATAAACTAAACACAACTAAGAATTAATCACAGTAAACAAAAACAAACATAAAACCATCATTATTCACCATGTAAATTCCAGCATACCTAAAGCTTGCCTCTTGTGGAAAGATATGGTGTGGGCGTAAATTGGGAGCAATTTGGTGTTATCCAACTCATCTTCTTCATCTCCCACCTCATCTTCATCTGATCCCAACAGAGCATTGGCAGCTATAACTTGAGATGAAGCTATCTGTTCCGGTGCACGAGGCGTCTCGCCTTCATGGTCAAATGAATTTATGGTTGCACAGACGTGCCACTTTGCAGCAAGCCCAGTGATAGATTGTGCTTTATGTGTGATCTTGGTAGCACTTCGTAATAGTATGAATAGCCCACTCACCAGGGTTATGGAGACTAACTGCAATATTGTCATAATCAAATTAAAGAGCTTAACAAATTATAATTTTTCTTTTAATCCATCTTAATCTGCACTGCACAATAGTACACATTAATGAAGGAGCAAATCTCTCTAACTAAAGCACCAACTCAAGTGTATATATATATATATATATTTTGATGAACCTAAAGTAAGAGAATGAGATGGAACTCTGAGCATGTTGATTATAAGAGTTCTAAAATTATGGGAAAGATTAACTCAGACTTGTGTCGTACATGAAAGTTCATAAAATTAAAGAAGATCGTACCGCAAGCTCGCCTGCCCTGAGGATGTCGACATCAGAACCAGTTTTTGTAGTCATAAGCAGAAAAATGAGCTGGCTTGCAGTGACCAAGAGCAGAGAAACCAAAATGAAAAATCGGAAACGATGGCTAATGATGCGGAGGTTTCTTCTATGTTTGAGGTGCTCCACCAAGATAGACGCCACTTCAGTTTCTTTATGGAAAACTTGAGCAAATTCTTCAAGTTTGAGTATTTGCAGGTAACAGATGAGCCGAAAGAAGACGCAGACCAGGAAGAAAATGGAGGTCCGATAAACCCAAGAGAACAGTTCAAGAGCGCCCAGTAAGAAGTTGCTCACGTATATGTTACCGTAATATGGCAACTCAGATGCTCCAGAGGTGAACCACCATATCTTGTAGGCACATTCGGCTAAGAAACAGGGAAGCCCCCAAAGCAGTATTAGCTTCATGGTTCTCTGCAAGATAGATTTTGATTTTGATTTTGAGGTTATTATTATTAATAATTTTTTTTAAGGGGTTAAACAAGAGAGAATAGGTGATGCATGATCATTCAAATATAACGAGTCTACTTTGGCAATTTCCCAGATTACCACGAATTTGGAGAAACTCTTTTTAATTTAAAAAAAAATTCATAATAGCACATAAATGTGGAATGTAGACATATTGACATGTTAAGATTTTTTTTTAATAATAAATGAAATTGTAGCTTAATAGCATGTAAACTCTTGGTAAATATTGTATTCACTAAAAAAACTTGATTTTAATTTTGTTTAAAACTATAGAGGAACCATTGTGTACAAAACTTTAGTTTTTGAGTTTAATTCTCAAAATTATATTAATAAAAAGTTATTAATTACAGTATAATCTAGTAATTTTTGTTTAAGTATATTCTAATTATTTATGTACAATAAAAATGCCAAAGAAAGGGCTATATTGTTTATTCCTGCCTTCGATAATTTTTTGGCTGTTAGCTTTTGGAGTTGAAAAATATACAATTGACGCATTTGGACGCATTTCGAACAAGAAGTGCCGCTCTGGCCCAAAAAGGAATAAATGTGGCAAAGTTTGTGTTTGTAGCTTGTACTTTTACTTAACAAATCTAAAGTTTATTCCTGTTTCAAGCTTAAAAATTCCCCCCAATAGCGCAATGAATAATCCATGGAGAAGGAAGATTCAAGATTGCGATGAATCCGAATCCATGGCGATTAATTATCTTCGCATATAATTGGTTCAGAACTTCAATCAAAAACGAAGAAGACACAGAGCAGAAAAACAAACCTGAAGCTGCTCTGCATATCCTTTTTGTGTCTTGTCACTCTCATCGATTACTTTATCCAGAAACAGAAACTTCCTCATACCGTACTTGCGATCCCACCTGGATAGGCAGAGGAAGGAGAGAGTGGCGAACACAGACAGAGAAATCTGAACGGGTATGTGATACGGGCGAGTATGATCGGAATCGCAGTCGGAGCACAGAAGAAGAAAGTGGGATAGAATAGGAATCACGAATGCGACGACGAAGAACACGGACCACGAGACAGCTGCCCGGCAAAAGTTGGATTGATCCACATACACCCATCGCAGGTACGATCTGAATCTCCTCAATTCGGCACCTTCTTGAGCGAAGAAGTCTGAAGGTTGCTTGGTTTTAGGGAGAAAAACTCTGGTTTCATCTTCCATAGCCTGGGAAATCTGGGGAAATTTGTACCGATCAGAGCTTGGAAACGATATGAACACATACAAAGGCAGAGAAGATGGTATGAAGAAAAGATGATGATGATGATGATTTGGCTGGTTGAATCAGAGAATTTAGGATTTGTGTTACAAAGATTGGAGATATGCAATCACTGTTTGTCAACTATATAATTCTCTTTCTAGCTGTAAGATGTCCCTACCCAAAAAAATTCAAAAAAAACAGAGGGGGTTGAACTGTTGAAGTTCTTGAAGCATTTGTGATTTGTGAGGATTTGAGCTGGACATGTGTGGTCATCACGATTAGCTGAAGGTCTAGCAATAGTTTAATCTCTTCAATTATCGCTGTCTGCTAGTTGTCTCTAGGTTGATCTCCATTCTTTAAAAGGGAAAGGAAAAAAAAAAGGTGTAGTTGGGATAAGCATCTTCAATCTTCAGCTTCAAGCATCATCCAGTTGACAATTAATATATCAAAGAATTACATTTAAGTCTCGTGTTAAAAACAAATTAATTACTTTAAAATTAATTAACAATTGATAAGGTCAGTTATTTTAGATGACCTTTCTTTAATTATTAATAAATTTTATAATAATTAATTTTACTGTGTGAAAAATTAACATAATTCTCCTTTGATATACGAAGCATCCCCTTGTTTTTGTTTTTGTTTTTGTTTTATTTACCAAAATGGATGATGAGTAGCGGTAGAAAACATGTTATCTGAGGATTGGTGAAGTAATTATTATATCATTACATTTTTTGTAATTGGGTGTCTCCAGAAAAAATAATATTGATTAGGTTGATAGTGATGTTGTTGATATGATGTTTATTTTTTTATAGATGAAAACTTATTTTCAGGTTTTACATAAAAAGTTTAAATATTTAAAAATCTTCATAAGATTATGAAATAATTTTAAAATGTCTTCGTTTATTAAAGAGTTAAATAATAATATAAATTTAAATTATAAATTTAAGGATGATTTGAATTATGAATGTGTATTTCCTCTTAATATATTTTGAATCTTGAAGAATTAATTATACAATAATGTAACCTTACGGTTAATTTTAATCAAACAGCGGTTGATCAAGAATTCTCTCTTCCCCCCCCCCCTCCATGCCTCTCTCCTCCCTCTCTCTTCCTTTCTCTCTCCTCTCCCTCTCTCATCTCCCTCAACTGGTGGCTCTCTGAGTCTCGCCTGCCTGCCTCCCTCCCGACGGCAATGGCCAACGCAGAAGCAGTGACTTGTAATAATTATGGTCAATTTCATGGGAACTTTCTAGGTTTTGCCCCCCAAGAAGCGACGGGTCTTCCGCTTCTTTCAACCCCCCGCAAATTTTTATTTCCTTCTTCCAGATGCAGGGAAGCTCGAGAAACACGTCTGCCAGACTCAGAAAATGCAGTAAAATAAATCACTTTCTAGTTGCTGTGACAGTGCCGCAACAAGGCTCGCATGTCGGCCAGCCGAACAAGCAGCCGTATGCATGGGCAACAAGTCCCGGAGATTTGAGGTACGCGCTTCCTACCTGAACCATGCCGTCTTCGAGAAGCTTCAGATTCAAGCTAAGGAAGAGTACGAGTTCTCTAATCACGGGCCCCTGGCGATTCCTTGCGACGAGGCCGTGTTTGAAGAGACTCTTCGGTTTATTTTACTGTTGGAGTATAGGAAGTTGGGCCAATTTCCTTCTGAAGGAGATTCAAAGGCACAACCAAATGTTGCCAACCAAAGGGAAGCCATAGTCGCTGAGAGGGAGGGAGTAGTACTGGTGGCAGGGACGTAAACGAAACAACCACCAGTTGAGGGAGCCGAGGGAGGAGGAAAACAGCGAGAGGAGAGAGAGAGAGACGAAGAGAGAAGAGGGAGAGAGAGAATTTATAATTAACGGCCTCGAGCTTAAAATTAACAATATGGGTTAGATTTCCCAAAAGGCACTAACTTAGACCAAATTCCAATCTAAATAAATTTAAAAAATGTTAGAGTTGATCTTGGGAGTATAAAAAATTTTATTTAGTACAGATTTATTTGGATCAATGCAAATAAATCGAAAGAGATTTGAGCTGGGCCAAACTCAAGTGAGTTTCACTCAAATATTTAAATTTCTTTTTTATTATTAATAAAATAATTATAAAAAATTAAAATATTAATTTATTAAAATAAAAATTTAAATTAAATAAAAATAAAAATAATATTTAACAATTCAAATATACAAACTATCCAAGTAAGTAGGAAAGCTCAAGGGACTATTGTTAGAATTTGTTATATAAGCTATTTTATATGGTAGGATACTTAAATTTGATTCAAATAAGCTTAATTTGCTTGAATTATTATATATAGATTGCCTCTGATTTAACTATTTAAAGTTTAAAATATATCAAACATAAGTTTTGAATTTAAATCACTTGTGGGTTTATACTTTAGGATCTATATTGTCATTTAATCCTTTGTTAAAATTTTCAATTAGTATATTGAAATTGTCAATTAATACTAGATAGTTGTTAATAAAATTGTTCAATTGACAATTGAACAACAATAATTAACCATTGTCCAATAATAATTGACAATTTTACTGAAGTACATGAGATTATAGAATAATTTTATGAGACTTTTTTAATTTAGATTTCTTATGTAAAATTTAATAGTGATTTTTTATCACAAAATTTAATAGAAGAGACTCATTTGACGCGCTTGTTGTTCACTTTTATAAGATTCATATAATTTCTTGGCTTATTTTTGGAAGTGGAAATATCCCTGACCTGCTTTAAGCAAAACCCAACTTATTTACTAGATAGGCTCAAACCAAATTTAAGTTTTTAAGGCTTAAATTACAAACCCAATAGGCTAGTCTATTTATATATGTGCGTGTATTATGTAATATCTCACACACACGTCAATTTTACAATTTGATCTTTAATCAATCTATTTTTTTTTATTTTTAATTATGTCTTTCAATCAGATTGAACTTATATATTGATTTTAATGTTATTACTTTATTATTATATTATAGTTGGTAAATCCTGTTAACTATTATATATTGTAATTGATTTATCAGATTATATATTTATATTAATAGTTTTAAAGTATATTTGAGACATTTAAAATTAAAATGTCAACTTATTTAAAAAAATTTACTTTTAAGTAGGCTTTTAAATAAGCTTTCAGACTAGATCAAACTTTAAGTAAACTCAACGTTGAGTTTAAAAAAAAATTATATACATTTTAAGCCAAACTCAAACATCTAACTTATTGTGCTGAGTTTAAAAAAAAAAAAAACTTATATACATTTTAAGCCAAACTCAAGTATCTAACTTACTGTACTGGCTCAGGTATATTTAATTAAAATCTAACTGGACAAACTTAAGCGTATGATTTACTATGCAAATTTAGGTAATTTTAACTAAAACTTAATTTAATATACCCTATTTTCATCCGTGGTTGTTTGCTACTTGGCCTCATGTTTTTGGTTAGCGTGGGATCATGCATGGTTGACTGTTAAGATCCTATCAGATTGCACGACTTTTCTTGCACTTGAAGGAATGCTTTTTAAAAGTAAAAAAGCTGTGATATAAATTTTTTTTTATGAACATAAAAATATGCTTTATGAGAATAATTCAATTCAAATGATAAAAATGAAATATTGATTAATTTTTATTAGATTGAAGTGACTCGGCTTAAAACCTTACCAGATTAACCGAAAGAAAAAAAATGATTGCACGTTCTTTTTTTTTTAATCTATATAGTATAACAAAGAATGCCTAGAACATTGATAAACACAAGATAATTAACTAAATTTAAGTAAAATTTTATTTTATTTTTTATACTTTCATTGAGCTTTTTCAAAATTCATTACCTAATTTTTTTGGTGCAGACTTGGAACAGCCCCACATCATTCTCACAGTTAACAACAAAAGCAAAATGAGTTGGAGGTGCACAAGAAATCTGTTCTCTGACCCAACAAAATGGGCAGGCAATCTGTTAGGAATGTCATGAATGTGTTTGACATGGCCAATTTTCTTGGACGTAATAACATGCAAAGCATGCTATCATTTTCTCAATAATCATAATCAATAAATATAATAAAAATTTATAGTAGGTATTACTATTCACAAACAAGGAATACAAATATACAAAATAGTTTTCTTAAAGAGTGAGTGATAAACGTCTATTATTTATAGAGTAAAATAAATATGGCTTGTTGAGCATCACGCGAAATTTGAGAATCAAACTACACTATAAAATATAAATAAATAATAATTTGTAATATAAATATATAACTAAATTACGGGGGCGTGCATTGCTCACAGTCACCGCCTTATATTCGAGAAAGATCAAGCCTAGCAACTAGTAAAAGAAGCCGTATTATATATTGCTAACTTCCTACATGCATGTTATATTGTCCATAAAACCATAACTTATAACCTTCGTTATAAGATATAAAATATTTTTAATTAAAGTTTATCTCTCAATAAAGTAATTACCTACTTTTAAATTAACCCTATCTTTTTACATTTACCCCTATTAAACACTCCATAATAAATATAAAGTCATTATCATTATGGACACTTTTGAAAAAATATAATGATTATATCTTAAAAAACTAAAAATGTCTTATATTTTGTAACATCCAACTCTTTAAAAAATACCTTATATTTTTGACATCATTTTTGTAAATTTATTATATATATATATATATATATTGTATGTATGTATGTATTTATATATAGTTGCAATTTATCATAGATGTCATGCACACATATATGCGCACATGCAATTCTATATAGGGTAAATAGGTGTTAATTCGAGTGAAGATGGATATAAGACATTGAACTTGGGCTCCTGTGACATAGAAAAAGGTTTTGAAAGGGTTACATTTAATTCGTTCTACTTTTACACACATGGATGCATCCCCCCCCCCCCCCACACACACACACACACACATATTTATATATAATAATTTTTTAAGAAAGAAAATATTAATTCCTCCATTAAAAAATATAAGATTTTTTTAAAGAGGTTTGATATTAAAAAATACAATGTATTTTTAGTATTTTGAAGTATAATCATTATTTTTTTAAAAATGTCCCTAAGGAAAAAAATTATTTTATATTTTTTTAGAGTAAAAATCTTATAAGTAGGAGTAAATATTAGAAAATAATATTAATTTAAAGATAAATAACTACTTTATTAAATGTGAAATTCGATTAAAAAATATCTTATATTTTTTAATAGATGAGTAATTAATAGAAAAATAAATAAGAAGCACTCCCTTCCTATTATAAGCCACCCTTTAAAAGGATATTTTGAATTTTAATATAAAACACTTGATAAGGTATTAATTTTTCATATTATTGTTATTTAAATTCATTAACTATGAGTGAAAAATGTATTGCAAATTTAAAAAATTTT